ATCGTGGCTCGGGATTCAGGGTTGGACATTGGGGATCTGGGGACGGCAATGCAGGAGTGAGCAATGTGGAAAGGGATTGTTAATGGAGTCCCGACCAACCACAGGGAGGTTGAATGATGATGATGATGACGAGGCTTCTACTTCCAGTAGTTACTAGCTGTTCCGCTTCCATATACCGTGTCCTTTCAGGACGTTAGTGATAATGACCCTCCACAACTTCCTATTCCTTTTCGCCTTTAACTCATTTCACTCTTTACCAAGCTTCACCCCTCTCGTTCCACTATATATTCACAGAGGCTCATCATATTCTAGTCTTCTAATTTCCCATATCTCCCTTGACCTGTTAGAGTTGTATTTCAAAGTCGTCCTTCCTTATTTTATGTTCAAAAACAGTTTAGCTCTTTCTCATTGTTAATATGAGTGTTCGTTTTGTTAACATTTTATTTAAAACTTCCTTGTTGCTTAATCTCTCCTTCCATGGAATTCTCAGAATCCTTCTGTAGAAACACGTTTTTGTTGCCTTTCAGGTTTCTCTTCATCAGGGTTGAGATCGTCCAGCATTCACTGCCATGTAAGAGGATTAATATCGCATAGCAATTCAGCACTCTTTTCTTTCTTTTTAACGAAACCATCCTGTTTATTAGTATTTCGCTTAGATTTTGGAATACCTCTTTAGCTAATCCAATGCCTCTTCGGATTTAGGTATCGGATTTTTCATCATCTGTTCAAAGATTCAAAGTTATTTAAACTTCTGTACTTGCCGGATGTTGACATCTAATTCATAGTTCGCAATTTGCGCTTTTTTCTGTGACAGACAACTATCATTTCTGTCTTCTTACAGTCGTTCGTTAATCTTTTTTCTTCCGCTTTCCTTTAGTAGCTTGTCTAGGAGTTCTTGTAGTTTTATTTCCCTGTCTGTCACCAGCCCAGTGTTATCTGCGTATCTTAGAAAACAGAAATGCCTTGCCAGGAATGAAGATCCTTTTCACCCCGATTCTGCTGATACGTACGTATCTACCTGAATATCTACCTCTGTGTAAGACTGTTAATATCTGCTTCTATTAATACCTGTTTACCTCCACATCTGATTTGGTTTATATCTATGTGTGGCACTAATAAGACAAATAGGAAAAAAAAACAACTCTTCAACTATACATTTCACCATAGATAATAATTCTTCATACAAGAAAGATGGGCGACTTAAGACTACTGCATCTATCACTTATGTAACAAACAACAAAATTAAGATGAAATATAAATTAATCAAAAATTAGGAAAAAAAAATCGCCCACTTTCTTAACAGCTGCCTTGACATTCAAACGCATGACGTCAGTTTAGTAATTAATGACAAACTTATATATTTTTATTTATTTTAGGTATACAAAGAGAGATTATCTCCCTTTCGATGGAATGAAGTCTTGATGTTCACGTGACAGCCGGAGAGTAACGGCTGCTTGTGAGGTGCTAGGGCGATAGACATCACCACAGACTCGCAGATGGACCCACCAACAACATAAAGGACACCATCAGTTTGCTTGTTGTCCCTTCAGGTAAAAATTACAAGAAAGACTCTCTCGTTTTCGATTTTCACACTGCTTGCTGTTTGTATATGTGTTAGAATTTCTTTGTGAAATAAGATATATATATATATATATATATATATATATATATATATATATATATATATATATATTTGTATATAATTTCTTATTACTTCAAACATTATTGTAGTGGGCACTAGTATTATAACGTTATCATACTGTTGTAACATACCTACGGACGATAATTGGTATGTCCCCATTCACATTAATACTGTAGTAAATACTGTATTTTGGTCTGCAATTGGAGAGTCGTCTCCACTTGTGATGGCCAAACTCTCTGTCTCCGGGCAGAGAGGATCCCCAGACGATGCTATGTCGAAGGGAAGAGTCTAGTCTCGGGAAACAGCTACCCGACACCGTTTTATACAGCGTCTATGCTGAATTTTTGGCCGAGCATACGGGCTCAGATGCTTTGTGTTACACCTGACTGCGTGGGGCGATTGGTAGATATCCTGCAGTCGGAGATTCGTCTCCAGCTTTGCTGGTAAAACTCTCTGCTTCCGGGCAGAGAGGATCCACAGACGAGGCTATGTCGAAGAGTAGAATTTCGTCTCGGGAAACAGCTACCCGACCCCTTTTCATAGGGGGTCTAGGGGGAATTTTTGGCCGAGCCTATGGGCTCGGATACAACCCATTAAATTCGGCCTTGTATCACATCTGTCAGCGTGGTGCGGTTGGTAGATATTCTGCAGTTAGAGATTTATCGTGGGATTCACTTGACTCGCTTCTAGCAGTTTACATCTTCTACACGCCGCTGTCGAATCTTATATGTGTTGTTCTTGCCCTAACTATAAACGTTCATTACCAACCTAAGTTGATTATTCTATTCTGTAACCTTGCCTAATTTACAACATATTGTATTATAATGTGGTTATAGTGGACAATCGTATAATAACGTTATTATAATGTACACTCGTATAATATTAGTATAGTGGACTATTCTATAATAATAATATTATAGTGGGAAAGCATATAAGAACGTTATTATATTGGGCAATCGTACATTCATGTACTTGTAAAACCGACAAAACACTTTATGTCGTTCATCCGTGATATATCTGATTTTTTTGTAAAAAAGTAATAATCTTACAGAAACATCCTTACAATAAGTATTTTTGTTGTTTCTTATATTTTATTGATTCATAAAGAAATTTTGAGCTTTTCCGATTCATCTTAATTATATTTTACTAATCTTTTAATATACTTAGGCCAAGAGCTAAAGATTCGACAAACTAAACAAAGAAGCAGGAATATTTTGTTAAAAACAAAGAAAAGAGTACTGAAGGGCCGTGTAATATCATTCCTTCTATACAGCAGATAATGCTAAACAACACCCCCAAGAAAAACAGTAAACTTGAGGCAACATAGATTTGATTCTACAGAAAGATGATGAAAATATCATAGGCGGAACATGTAAGTAACGAGGAAGTCTTAAAGAAATTAAAGCAAAAATGACACTTATACCTACAATCAGAAAATAACTATTGAAATTTCTAAGACATATAATACTGTTGTGGTAGGATCCACCTAATTTGCATAGTGGAGTACCGACCATATAAATATTGTTGGTACCGGGAAGCCAGAGAGGAATCAAGAGATTCAACCAGAGACTCTGCCCGACTGCGACTAAATCAACACATTCTCCAGGAACGGTTTTACCAGGAATATACAAAAGATTATATGTAAATATTGTGTACACTTTCTTGTTTCAATACATTTTGTTCTAAGTACATTTTGTGTTGCATTATTATTCCATGCATTAGTCAAGTTTCAACAAATAAGGAAAGGGGGCTTGGAGAATTTCACACTCACAGAACATAATGAAGGAGCAGGGGTAAACCAAAAACCCACAAAACAAGTTAAAGAAAATGGATAGCGTAATATCAATTTAATCATTTCACCCAAGCGAGGCGATAATACCATTAACGCGCAAGGAAGTACTGAAGGTGAAAGAGGATAAGAAATCTTTAGTGATGAGAAAGATTTTTTTTTTTTTAATATCAAATCATTATAGGTCATTTAATGCAGAAATTTAATTTTCTTGGGAGCATTAATATTTTCTCTTAGAAAAATGTATTGCTGGTAATTTTTTTCAAAAATATATTGCTGGTATTTTTATTATAAAACTTTTTTATACTTTCATAGTGTTTTGACCCCAGTTTAGGGGTTAACTATTTGCTCATATATGGGACCCAAACAGATGTTACCCACCCGGGTCAGTTTGGGCCTGAGAATAGCGATTAAGAGGTGGTTCCACGCGCCTCAAAACCTACCGATCAGAGGGCTTGTTACCGGATGTAGTTTAACGTAATCACCCAGGACGGATGAGAACGGTAAATAAAAGCACAAGATCGAATGAGTCGGAAGGTGGCGATTGACGTTGCATTTAAATTTTCGAAGAACGTAGTTGGCAGGGAAGCAAGAAACCAGAAGAGATTTCCACAAGAGAAAAGTGCTTAGAATTACAAAGGATAGGAAGTTATGGAGAGCCATGATCATCCAGATTCTGAAGAAGAAACGACACAGCAATGAAGAAGATTTAACGTCTTTTGAGTAAGAGTAATTTTCTCTCAATAATTAAAAAAAATATATTATCGACACAATAATTTTTTTCTATTTCCCCTGAAAATTAAGTTTCTTAGAGTCGAATTAAAAAGTGAAAAATATTAATTTAGCAAATGCAGATAATGGCTTATAAATAAAGATTGGAATAAAGGAAGTATGAACTCGTGTATTATCGATATATATTATTACGAGGTAAACACTTGGAATTTCAGTAGAAATTAGATTTTGGTCGATGTCTTTTTTTCTTGAATTGATTATACTAAGAATTTGAGAACATTTTGGCAACAAGTAAAAAACCTACCAGAAAAGAAAAAAAAACTGTCTTTTCATCGTTTTTACTGCATACTTCCGCTTAAATTTGTATTGTTTTAAAAAGTTTTTTTTAGAGTTTAAATGAAAGTCAAACATGCAACAGCATTCGTTGTTTCCTTTTCACTCAAAAATTTCATATTTACAAAATTATAAAAGAAAAAGAACATTTGAAGTAACAATCAAATCATTGCAAAGATTCGTGTCGAATTTTCGGTGCAACCATTGTATGATATCTACCGAGGCATTTGCGACCTACCATAAACGATGAGGCACTCATTATTGCTGGAAAATGCCCAGGAAAAACAATTGTTGTATAGCCGTTTCTGGATTTATCTTGGGGTGACGATCTTGATTCACTGATATGTTGCTTTCTTTTTTCTGTTTTCTTCCGGTCGTCTGATCGCTAGTTGTTTTTTTCGGAGGTAAAATGAGAATTTTATCAAAAAAGGGATTTTGACTTAATACTTTATTAAACACGTCGACGTATATATTTAAAACTAGACTGAAGAACTGAGGAAAGGATCAAAAGAAGAACTGAAGAAAGGATAAAAAGAAGAACTTAGGAGGATAAAAAGAAGAATTGAAGAAATGATAAAAGGAAGAACTGAGGAAAGGATAAATAGAAGAACCGAGGAAAGGATAAGAAGAAGGACTGAAGAAATGATAAAAAGAAGAACTGAAGAAAGGATCAAAAGATGAACTGAGGAAAGGATAAAAAGATGAACTGAGGAAAGGATCAAAAGAAGAACTGAGGAGGATCAAAAGAAGAACTTAGGAAAGGATAAAAAGATGAACTGAGGAAAGGATAAAAAGTAGAAACGAGGCGGATAAAAAGTAGAACTGAGGAAAGGATCAAAAGAAGAATTGAGGAAAGGATAAAAAGAACTGAGAAAAGGATAAAAAGTAGAACTGAGGAAAGGATCAAAAGAAGAACTGAAGAAATGATAAATAAATGAACTGGGGAAAGGGTAAAAAGAAGAACTGAGGAAAAGATCAAAAGAAGAATTGAGGAAAGGATAAAAAGAACTGAAGAAAGGATAAAAAAGAAGAACTGAAGAAATGATAAAAAGAAGAATTGAGGAAAGGATAAAAAGTTGAAACGAGGCGGATAAAAAGAAGAACTGAGGAAAGGATAAAAAGAAGAACTGAGTCAGATAAAAGGTAGAACTGAGGAAAGGATAAATAGAAGAATTGAGGAAGAAAAAAAGAAGATCTGAGGAAAGGATAAAAAGAAGAACGAGATATAGGCAACAGAAGATGTCGATTGACATTACATTTAAATTTTTGTGGATTATATTTAATAGGGAAGCAAGTAAGAGGAAAGTATTTCCACTGTCGGGAAGTGTGGGAGAAGAATCTCTTGGAGTAGTTTCGACAGTAAAATGGTCGGACCGAGATACCAACCTCTTAGAACCCTTAAATTCATGAAATCGGGGCACCAGTGAAAATGGCTCGTCAGAGCAGATACCATGAAAATATTTACAGAAAAGACAGAGGGAAGCCACATTATGCCGGAGAGAAAATGACTGGAGTCGAGATCCCAAGTCAGGACCGATCACATTGCATATCCGTTTTGGGGTTTTGTAGAGCACTAGACCATATATGGCAACAGTATTCCATGCATGGATGAATGGTATATTCGTAGATATGAAGGATGGACTCAGATAAGATCTTACTATGGAAGAAAATGGACGGTAGATATCATACTGCAGTAACACTCAATTTTTATTGTCAATATAAAATTACTGCAACTTGACTCTGTTTTGGTATCGATTTTTGGGAGTGTTCTAGATTGAAGCCTAACATCGTTCACTTGTGAGTCGGACTTTGGTTAGGTAGATTTCGTCAAGCTGGTATGAGCTAAACGATCAACCACGCTTCAAGCCATCATTCGATGTCGATGCAGTCTCTCTGCATGCAATTTTGGAGAAAAAAAACCCGAAGATTTTGACAGAAGAGAAGGCTAAATGTCTGAAAATCGATATTCTAAATGCCCTTCGCCATTTAAAGAGACTTGGGTTCGTTTCCAAACTCCATACGTGGGTGTCACATTCTCTAACGGAAAAGAAGAAGCTCGATCGTGTTTCTGCAGCAATTTATTTGCTGATACGCCAAGAAAAGGAGCCATTCTTGGACAGTATTTTCATAGGCAGATGAAAAATTCTTGATTATTTTCGACATTGTGTAGTTGCAAAAAAAAAGCTTGTGAATTTGCAGAACCTGTGGCTAAAGCTGTCTTAAATCCAATGTATTTTTTGCTGTCCGTTTTGTGGGGTTGAAAACGAATAAATCCCTTTGAGCTTCGTACAGCCGGCTAAACAATACCTGCAAAGGAGTATGACAGCCATCTCAACAATGTCAATGCGGTTATTCAAGATAAACGGCAGATTTAGGTGAATCGAAAAAAATGTCATTTTCTACCACGACAACGCAAGACAGCATGTTGCAAACGAAACGCTGTAAAAGCTTTAATTAGTTGATTTGGAAAACACTCCTACACCCAACGTATTTTCTTGACTTGGCTTCGGATTTTCACATCTTTTTACAGAATAATCAATGACGAAAATAACTGAATCTGTACAGTAAGTCCAAACTACCCTACAGCCTCATACCAAGGGAAAATATGAAGCTTCTAGGAAAATGTTATCAACATACTTATAGACTCTAACCTTTAACCCTAATATATTTCATGCTTCCAACAGTTGGTAAATATCATGCCACAGTAGAGAATGAATAGTACATGTCATACTATACAAGAAAACGGACAGTAGATATCATACTATAGTAGAAAATTGACGATGGAAGACTTTTATTAAAAACAATGCAGACAATGTACTTTACTAATAAGTTTTTTTTTAATATAAAATTTGTTTTTAATTTTCCAATCTTTTACCAACCAGCTGCAGACTGCAACCATTGCTAGCATCACCGTCACTATCAACAGCTGTACCCCACCTTGCCACTACTGTTGCTGCTACTACTATTACTACTATGATAACGTTCAATAGGAAAAAAATAATCACACCCTTTCAATTACTCTGGCGTTCCTGTTTGAGTTGGTTGTGCTTTAAAACAATTCATTCTATATTTTATTAGTTATATCCTATCGTGCTCTGATTTTTCCATCCAGAACTTTGTTGTTAATCTAACCAGTCCTTTCTTTAATCTTTCTCAACTGAATATAACATCTAGAGCTACAGAAGGATGATGAAAATACCATGGTCTGTGAGCAATGACAAAGTTTTAGAGAATATGGAAACAAAAAGAAAACTTATACTTAACACTAGGATGGCCAGTTCCTTTGACATCTTTATTTACATTACGCCGTGAAGCAGCCATCTCTAATATATTCAATATTCAAGTCAGGAATAACAAGTCTGAAAAGAAATTCACAAATATTAGTATACCTCATACTGAAAGAAAGATTATTATATATATATATATATATATATATATATATATATATATATATATAATGTGTGTTTGTGTATAGATAGATAGATAAATAGATAGATGGGGACATAAATATAAGTATTATTGCTTGTGAGAAATGTTTCAATGCATTTACCCTATAAATAGCCTAGGTGTCAAAAACGACACCTCGACCATTCAAGGCAAAACCTCAAATATCAGCTATTCATTCCACTGAATATTTTTTAAAGAATTAAGTCTGTTAAACATCTTTGCTAAAATTCACTAATTGTCCATAAGCCTCAGCATCGAACCAAAACTAGTTATTCCATAGTAATTTGTTGAAAATTTGAAGGTGTCGAAAACGATACCTCGGCCATCCTAGTGTTAACATCAGGAAGAGATAGTTTAAATTTCTATGGCGCATTATGTGGCAGGATGTCTTGGAAAATGTGTTACTCAAAAGACAGATTAAATGCAAGAGGGACAGAGGAAAGCACCACATAACATCCTTAGCGAATAAATGTATGGCTGAACAGGCTTTAGGAGAAATAACAGTGTAGAATAACAATACAACAAAAAGCACTTACCGGCGTAAGGGTCCCAGCTAGCGTCCAGCTGGCAGACAAAAATAAAGCAGGTTGTAACTCAATATAGACCCTGCAAACTAACTGATGAATCAAGCTGGTATTTATACAGAAATACCTCCACTGATGTACCAGCAGCCAATCACAGCCCAAACAATGGACTATCACATTTTAGCACAATGAGATGCTCCATGGCACCATAAATAGCTCTTTTAAGGTTGAGTTAGGATTCACTCAGCTTGCTCCACAACTGAGTGTTATCTTGACCGCGTGATTGTTCTACAAACAGAAAGACAATGTTTATTAAGATCTACAAAAGATCGGAATTTGTGGAAAGTCATGATCACCTATGTCATGAGCGAACACAGTACACAAAGAAGAAAAAGAGAAAGAAATAGTTTTACATGTTTTTAACATTATTAATGTTACGCTATACTAATATTAAAATCTCCGCCCAAGTCTCTGAATGTGTATTTATTGTTTATTTACTTTTTTCTCCTTAATAGGATTAGATAGGTTTAACTATCGACTGGTTAACAATCCTCCGAAAACTTTTGAACAGAAGTAGATGTTTATATCTCTGTTTCTTGTTTAGGATTGGGCTTCCAGTTCCTTCTAAAGTATCTTCCTTTTGTTTAACTTCCGGCCTCTCTTTGGATCGTGGCGGCATTATCACCTTGATTTCGGTGGTACCTCGTATTCTGTAACTCTCTACCCTGAGTAGCTCTTGGGCATTGTACAAGGTGAACATTACTATAAAAAATCTTTTGCATTGATCTAATACAATGGAATAACAAAATAACATTTTGTTCATAAATTTATATATATATATATATATATATATATATATATATATATATATATATATATATATATAAAACAAGAAATGTTAAATAAATTTGAATAAGCACATAACGGCATTACACATTTTTCAGGATTATTTTATATCTCATATCACTTTTTGTTTAAATTTACCAAGATGGCTACAAATAGCAATTATTATGACAAAATGAGAAATTATTTTTATTTCAAGTTTCTGTTCTATGGTTGAGACGGAGTGTTAGGGTCCCGGCTATGGGCAAATAGTTAACACCCAAACAAAAAAAAAATACTATGAAAGTAATAAATACACTTTTATATAAAAATACCAACAATATCTATTTATAGTAAAACTACCAGCAATACATATTTTTTAAAAAATACGCACTTATAATAAAATTCTTTATTTATATTAAAATTATTAATAATACTCATTTATAGTAGAAATACCAACAACATATTTTTAAAAAAAATGAGCAACAATACATTTTATCTGTAGTTGAAGGCATACAACTACGTCCAAAATATATTTAATTGAAGCCATAAAATTATGTTCAAAATATTTAGATTTTGGTTTTAAATAACCCCTAGAGGTGTTGATATGCCCCTAAGAAAAATCAACTGACCAACTAACTAGAATTGAGACATTATTATAAATATATTAAGAAATAATTGTTTTCATAGTTATTTCTTTATAAAATAGTAAATATTAAATATTTCTTCATCCTCTTTGTATCTTAACGTTTCGATGAAAACTGAATCCGGCTTTTGTTAGATCTGCCCAACAGAGTATCACACATTTTATATATAAGACTATTTCGATCAATAAAATTATTATTTTTTATGATTAGTCTGATGAAGTTCTTTCTTGGAACAACAAGAAAAACAATAAATTATTTTCGTTTAATAGGCCAGAAATATACGTTACATGTTGTTGTCTATAAATTACATTTCCTTCCACAGTAAGTATTAAAAAGGGTTTAGCGCGTTTTCTGATTCAAAATATGAAAGCTGAACGTTATAATTTTCACCACGTTACTTCTGTGTATACATAGAGGTTACTAAAAAAAGAAAATCTACATTTGCTTTGATAATGTTCTTTATAGAGCGAAACGAGTTGGTATGAAATGTTTTCATTATGTTTTTTCTTGCACACACACTAACATACATGCCTACATACATACACACACATATATATGGCTAAAAATCCGTTGGTATATAATCCAAGTGGATTCTAGTAATATAAAAATATGAGAACTGATCCGCAAAAAAAGAGCCCGATGTATTTTATCTACAGAAACCAATATAATTAATGATCAAACAAATCCTTTTACGTCATAATGGGAATAGGCTATTTCGGCAGAAGTCGAAAGTGGTCGTCTGTCTTTTCAGCAACGGTGTGGAATAAAGTTCACGTATGTCAAGTTAGAGGAAGTACGATGTAGTGGGAATCAACTGACGAATTGATATTGGATGCGAAAGGTTCAACTTGGGCAAGTTAAAGTTTAAGGTGAGCCTTTAGTTTTCAATATCAATTCCTCACAGTTAACTCCTACTATTTCCGCCTTCCTCTTACATTACAGACATGAACTTTATTCCACACCGAGGTTGAAATAGCCTATTCCCCATATGAGGTAAAAGGATATGTTTGTTATTAATTAAATATATATATATATATATATATATATATATATATATATATAATATTAGTGGTCAATATATATATATATATATATATATATATATATATATATATATATATATAGTTAGTAAAGGTAATTTACATTAACCAGAAAAAAGGCTTAGACACAAGCGTCTATCTTTTAATTTTGAATTTTAATGTAACTATAACAACAAAAACATTTCGATTTCATTTTGCCTTGAAAAAGTCGGAAGACGAAACGCGTCGGCAAAATGTATGATTTTTCCAATTGTCCTTTGATACTATATATATATATATATATATATATATATATATATATATATATATATATATATATATATATATATAGATTCACAAGGTAGAACTCAATGTTCAGAACAGAGTAAGAATATAATGGAATATTAATGTTTGAGCCTTTTATATTATAAATGTATAAAATTATGGAAAATGAAGCATAATATTTTTTTTAAAGAAATCCACATTTCAACCAAAAACCTTTGCGGCACCTCTCTTCTTTTCTTTTTAATATACACACGTTTCTCTCGTTGGAACCACCATAACCTCGTTCTTTGGGGCACCTCTAGGCGGTGTAATGGTTAGCAAGCTTGGCTCGCTAAAACAATTGCGACTGAGTAGTGAGTTCGATCCTCACTGGGTGCCCCTAATTTTTGTGCCACATCTAAGCTACGCTTGGAAGATCACTGTAACCTTTTTATATTTATATATATATATATAGTGCGATTAAGGTTTTTGGTCAGTTTTTCTTTTGTCGTTTAAGTCATTTATTGCCATCTCCAAGTCATTTGAAAACACACATGGAAACCTACCGCACGCACATAAATATTTTTTACAAAATAAAATCCTAGCATTTGCCTTGATAATGTCCGTCAGAGGACGAAACACATCAGTTAATACACTGTAACCCGGATATAAGAGAGTTGTCGGGACCGGAGAAGTCTCATATATCCGGGTTTCTCTTATATCCGGGTTTGGTCTATTTTATATACATTAACACAGGCTCTAATTTGGGACCAGAGAAAATCTCTCTTATATCCGGGTTTCTCTTATATCCGGGTCTCTTCTATCCGGGTTACACTGTATAAGTTTTCCTTTTCTCGTTATTCAAATTGTCCTTTTACAGATATACTCGATCTGAAATTTTTACGCACGCACGCATATATATATATATATATATGCATATATATATATATATATATATATATATATATATATGTACAAGAGGGTGTATGCTTAAAGATTGTCGACCCGACCCATTTCACTGCAAAAATCTGACAAAATTATGTTTGAATTCATTCTAGCTCGAACAGAGAACGCGATATTTAAAAATTAGCCGTCCGCATGTCTTCCCTCAAATCAGTGCTTCAATCACCAACCATCGGTGAATTTGGGGAAATTATTTGAATTGATTTACCGCTCCACAATCGTATTTATTACGGAGTAATAGTCCCACGAGCCAAGGCCGTCATTTTAACTTTCCATTCTTTTTAGCTATTCTATGAATATGGCTTCCAGCCAAATTTA